ACAGTGCGTTAAGTTTTATTATAGCGCAAAGTGGACATTATTGCTGTCCCAGTCAACGAAGTGCGGCCCAAATTTATATGACTTTCTCCTGATGTTGTGATAGCACCTGGCCCGAAACCAAAATCCACCCCGTGGAGCTATTTGACAGGTCGTATATCATTCCTACTATACACATATATTTTTGAATGGTCATAACCATCGTTGAAGTATTAGTTCTAAACTTGTGCCACATAACTGAACAATGATGGTGCCATTAAATTGGCTGTCATCATCGATTAATCTCCGTTACGTATTTGAATATATGTTTACAGACTGTTTTTCATGCAGTTGTAACGTTATGGTGTCTGTGCCAACTGATCCGTTATCACTACTGGTGTTGTTGATGATAATGTTGTTAGCATGAATAACCACCCAACACTACCTGGTACCTTGTAAGAACTTCCCACCCGGACCTTGGGGGCTTACCTATTATTAGCAGCTTTATGTACTTCGGATCTGATATACACAAAGACATGATGAAACTCTCAAAGAAATATGTTGATGTTTATAGTCTGAAGATGGGATCTCATACAGCCGTTGTTGTAAATGGAGTGAATGCCATCAAAGAATGTCTGGTAAAAAAAGGAACCGATTTTGCTGATAGACCACATTCTTGGACAGTTGAACAATATAATCCAAGATATGAAGGTAATAATTAAACTGTAATCAATAAAATAATTAACTAATTAAAACAACCAACGATTGAGACCACTAATTCTAAAAAATTCTATGGGCACTATGTATGAACTTGATTTTCTACCGTTTCGAAGGCCATTTAATCAATCAAATATACATAACTACAATACACTTGGTGATGATCTGAGGAAATTCTGCAAGCAGCAAATTGATGAACACCGTGAAGTATTCGACCCAGACAACATAGGTGATTTCATCGATGCATGCTTAGCTGAGACAATGAAACAAGACGGCAATAAAGATCTTACAGACGACCAGTTAAAACACACATTAGCTGATCTTTTTGCTGCTGGAACTGAAACAACAGCGACAACACTTAAATGGGGGTTACTATTAATGGTTCTTCATCCAGAAATACAGGACAGAGTGTTTAATGAAATTGATCAGGTACGTACTATACAACATGCATGTGCAAATTAAGCAGGGTGTATCTTAAATCGCATAATTGTGAAATAGCCACATCTGCTTCAAACTATTGAGTGTCCTTATGTTGAACATTGTTTGTAATCCCGACCACTATTCGGTTTCTCATGATTCCAGGCTGTTGGTGCAAACCGTCTCCCGAGACTTGACGATCGTAAAAACTTGTCTTATACTGAAGCCACGCTTTTGGAAATACAGCGATTTGGTAGTATTGCACCATTATCACTACCTCATTGTGCGTTGAAAGACACTTCACTTGGTGGATATACTATTCCCAAGGGGACGGAACTAATTATTTTACTATGGTAGTTTCATCTATATGTATTCCTCTGAACTTCCGTAGCTGTACGGACATAT